TCACAATTTTGGTCAGTAAACGGCGATACTTGATATACCCAGGTAAGAGCTCTCGGTCGTTGACAACCGAACCAGGACCGGCACAACTCCGTGTCTCGGTATACAGTGACACTGGACTTTTTTGGTATTGTCTCTGTTGTAAAATCCGCCTAGAGCCAGTACCGAAATCAAGTATTGGTTTTCAGTATTGCCCCAATCTTGTTTCGATATCAATAATTCAGTACTGATTACCAAAGGTTACTCTGTACTGATATTACTCTGTTCCTGTACTGGAAGAGGAGTGCTTAAATATATTTTGCTTTAACTTTTCACGAATAAATTCATTCACTTTAAATGAAGAATATTATCCTCTGATGCACGGGTATGAAACGAGCATAAAAAAAATATATAGAGAGAGAGAAGAGAAGGGGAAAGTGAGGCAGTTTTCGGGCATTAGGTGTGGGTCGTAAACCTAACCTAAAGTCGATAATTAATATCAAAATGAACAAATTTAAAAAATCAGGAAGCTTTTACCGATTGAAAAAATATCGTATCAGAAAACGGTTAGAAGCAAATGCAACGGTGTTCCAGAGTGCAGATCAGACAGATAATAGTGTAAAAATTTTTGACGATCAAATAAAGCAAAAGCTAAATTTGGGGCACCCTCAACCTATGAAAAATGAAAGTGAAATAAGTTCTATTAGTTTAAAAGACACTGCCTCCGACGTGGGCATTGGTGACAATGATTCGAGCAACTCTGTCATTGGATTTGACGATAATACTTTCGAGAATGATCAGAGTGATGATGAAACATCATTCTTATCTCAGTGTGATAAGTTTCATAACAATCAGGATGTGTCTACGGTAGAAACGAATGAGGCAGAAACTCACCCTCCAAGTGTTACAATGACAGAAAAACTTCGCCAATGGGCTCTGGATAATATTGCCAGTATTTCTCTACGTGCAGTGACTGAACTGTTGAAGCTACTCAGAACTGAAAATTATGAAGATCTGCCTACAACAGCTCATCAGTTACTGGGATTTCAACATTCTATCAAATCACGACCAATGGTTGCAAAATCGAAAGAAATTGGTCAGTATATTTACATGGGAATAACCAATAGCTTACTAAATCGTGTCACATTCAATATATACAATGAAAAAGTAATAAAATTGTACATTCATATCGATGGTGCCAGTTTGTTTAAAACTTCTCGAGGTCAATTGTGGCCAATTCTAGCTAAAATCCACCATCCTCATTATTCTGCTACCCCATTTGCTGTTGCCATATATTATGGAAATTCGAAGCCTGACAGTGTAGATGATTTTATGAAGGATTTTGTAACAGAAGCAAATGAATTGATAGAAAATGGTGTGACGATTGGAGAAAGTCTATACAAAGTCGAAATTCCAGCGATAATTTGTGATGGTCAAGCCAGAGCATTTATAAAATGCATAAAAGGTCCAACTGGTTACTTCAGTTGCGAAAGATGTACAGTAAAGGGAATTCACGTGAATAAAAGGAGAGTTTATCCAGAAATTGATTGTCCTAAGCGTACAAACCAGTCTTTCATCGAAAAAACACAGCCAGAACATCACAAAGGTGAGAGTTGCAGTCCTCTGACAACCATACGTCATCTGGATCCCATTAGAAGTATTCCATTGGATGTTATGCATTTATTGTTTTTAAACGACATGAAATTTTTGCTAAACAAATGGTTTGTGGAAGTTAATTCCTGTCGATTAAAAGCCACTGAAAGAATCACATTTGAAAAACGCATGACATCAATTTCATCCTGTGTGCCAGCTGAGTTTCAGAGGAAAGTATTTGACATCGAGATGATAGGGCGATGGAAGGCTACTCAATATAGCTTCATCTTACTATATCTAGGTAGTATCGTCTTGAAAAAAGTTCTATCGAAACATCTATATCGACATTTTTTGCACTTTCACGTTGCATGCAGGATCCTTTGTAGTATAGAATTAGCTGTTTCCCATGTAGATCAAGCAGATGAGCTGCTGAAAGACTTTTTTCTATCAATGCCCGCATATTATGGACCAGACTGTCAAACTATGAATTGGCACCTCCTGATTCATGTGGCAGATGATGTTAGGCATTTCCAAGCTCCATTAACAGATTATTCAGCGTTTTTTGGCGAAAATTTTCTTGGAAAATTGCAAGAGTTGGTGAAAGGCAGAGCCAGGCCTTTAGCTCAGCTGGTCAATAAATTACGAGCCCTAGAATCCTCCGATTCTGCAAAAATTCAAAAAAAGTGGGAAATTTGCAACTGCCGTGTTATTTTAAATCCTGAACTACAACATTTTAAAGGAAATGATGTGATCCCTGTTCAGTCACTTCAGCTTCGAGGCATGTTGCTGGAAACAAAAGAGCCAAATAACGTAGTTCAGCTGAAAAGTGGGAAAATATTTTCTATTCGACGAATATTGATAAATAATGATATCAAATTTCCTAGCAACGATTCCAATGGTTGTTATGTTGAAGGATTTTTTGATGTAACTAAGAAGAATGTATTTGAAAAACCCTATCCGTCTGAAGATGTTGGAATTGTTGAAGTTCGTGAATTTTCAAAGGACCTCACTCATTACCCAGTCTCTTCCGTGAAATCGAAGTGTGTTTTTATCAGTATTGATAATAAAAATTATGCAATAACGATGTTGCACAATCAGTGAGACTCAATGATAAAATTATACAGAATTCCAATTTGTTAAACGATTTTTGCACAGGATTTTAAAAAAAGCCTAGATTATATTTGATATATTATATTTAATTATATTTGATTTTATAAATTACTGCAAAATGTATGACTTACAAAGAATGTCGATTGTCCGAAAAATAAATAATGAAATAGATAAACAGTTGAATTCAAACATAGAGGGCGAGGTGACGCAATGGAGAATAGTCGACGAACCCCTCCCCCTTCCCACTGTGATGATAGATCGCTTGCGGAAGAGGGGGCGAACACGCAAGGACCTGTCGTTTTGGCACGCATCGAAGCGTGGTTAATTACAAAAAAATCATCTCTATTTCTATTTCTGATTTTCTTATTCTGATTTTAAGTTTTTTCTTTAACTTACCATTTGATTCAAGTTTTTTAAGGCCAAATAAAATAATCTAATCCGTTGAAATTAGGGTTTTCGGTGTTTTATCGGAAAATCGATGAATATCAGTGTATTGTGGTTTAACCTAACTAACGATTTATCCTCGTTGAATCAATTTTTGTTGGCTTCAATCCGTAGAAATCAGGTAAGCAATAATTCGACATGGTATCCAATTAAACATTTACGATATAATTAGAGCTTTCACCAAAACCTCATCATTTTAGAATGTCAGATGAAAATATAGAGGATTCTGGTGAACCGTATGTGATAGTGAAGTTTCTGGATGAGTTTAATGAAAATGGAGAGATGCTAATAGAATTAGTGCCATCATCATGGACTTTTTTGGCCCCCGATGATCAATGGAAATGCAAATGGCCACAAAAGGAGGCAAAATCTATGGATACAATGATAAAGGCCTTGCATCTTCCTGCTGATGATTGGCCATCTTTTGCCATTGAAAAAATAACTCACGCAGGTAAAATTAATCTTCAATATTTCGACACCATAATTCAT